TATAAGGAGAAGAAAAATTATGGTGTCACTTTAAGATTAAAGATGCAACCTGTATTTCATGAGGTTATATTTCAGTGTCCATATTGACAGTTGAGTGAAAGAATCTTTAAAAGGTAGAAAATCAGAGAGAGATGTTAAGAAGATATTTTCTACCCAACGGTATTCATTAGAAACATCTGGGAATATTCTCTCCCCCACCACCAAATGCACATTAGGCATATAACATAGAAGAGAGGTTGGTAAACATTATCCATAAAGAATCAGATATTTAGTATTTTATGATATTTTAGGCCATGTAGTTTCTGTAATAAGGACTCATCTGTTGTTCTACCCCCAGCATAGCCATAGCTAATATCTAAAAGAACTAGTGTGGCTCTGCTCCAATAAAATTTTACAGACAAAAATGGTCTAGACTTGGTGCAGAGGTGTAGTTTACTGACCTCTGCTCTACATGTCGAGTTTGACAGACCAGTGATTTAATTCTGATAGAAAAGCAAAGCCATAGACTTCAGTGGGCAGTCATGGAAACCACTGTTTATCGCCCACATTGCCTTGAATAAATTAAAAAGCTAACCGACATGAAAAGGAAACAGAAAATTGCCTCACGTGAGAATAAACTTTAAAAGAATTATAAATTATCTAGATGTTAAATTTAACACAGACTTTTAAAATGACTTTAAAAGAACTGATTAGTAAGCTAAAAGTACATTAGAAATGAATTTATAGGTAGTGTTTACGAATCTCGGGAGAAACAATGGAAGGTGAAGAAATAAATCTTACTACGATTGAATGAAAGAATCGATGTATTAGATAATAAGTATGATGCCAGGTGATGAAAAACATAGAAAAACAATACGGAGGAAAAAAATGAGAAAATAAAGAGAGCATCAAGGCCCGGGGGGGGTGGTCATGGCAGCATTAAGTAGAAGTGCTTGTGATGCAATTGTCTAGATGTGGGGACACTTGTCCAATATGTAAGAGTTCAGTGTAGTTTCTTTCATATTTAGTGGTTTTTCCACATCTTCCTGCCCAGTTGTAAGAGTCAGGTTCTGCCTAACGTTGCTTCAAGCTTGTTGGATGAAATGTGGCCTGATCAATTGCCATCCAAATGGATGTTTAGAGGAAATTATCATCTTCATTTTATATTTGCAGCCACAGTTTTTTTTTCCCCAAAGGGAGGCTATCTATCCATACTGGTAAATTAAAATAGTTATAAGAATGGTACTAACATTGCTTGCATAGTCAAATGCAATCGACAAGAAAATGCACCAGTTTAGACTGGACTTGAGCCTCTGTCGTGTGCATAATGCCCTTCATTTCTTCCTGGATACTGTGATGGACTGACTTCTGCAGTTGTGTTTTATTGGTAAATTTATTCCCACCATTTCCATCCCTATATCTGAAAGGGAGGGATAATAACCAACTTGATGTAAACTGATTATAAACTAACTATGCTAGAACTCAGGTGGTGAAGGATAAATGATTATAATTACATTCAAGCTACTGTCACTGTATTGGACAAGTGTAAGTGGATATGAAATAGCCTTTTAAAAGGACTTAGCAAAGCAAATCTGTCCATTTATATACTTCCTGTAATCTTGCTGAGTATTAGAGTCTATGGCAAAGTACACATTTCCATTCTGGTTGTTCTATAAACTCTGGTATTAGTTTGAGGACGTGCCTGCTAAAATGTTTACTTTTCCATCCAGAAAAGGGGCCGTATGCTTAGAAGCTGGGACTCCAAGAGCTGTATTGAAGCTGTATTGGATATGAAACACAGTGCTCATATCTGCATTGTTTATTTCAGGTGTCTTGGGAATGGAGAGGTCTGTGGCTTGCTGTTCTTGGGTCTCCCAGCTCGCCCTATGGACATCACTAGTTTTTGAGATCATCTTTCCCTCCCTTCAACTGTAATTGTTCTATAAATGTAGAAACACTCTAAATGATCAAACTAGAGATAGCTTTTGTTTCTGGGAAAATTTATACCAATAAATAGGAATTCAACATCTTCCCTGCCTTCATTGTTCTGTATAGAAAGATAAATAAATAGAATTTTTTTTATACTTATTTTCCATTTAACATGTCTTAGACATTTCAAAATATTTCAAAATATTGATTTTCTCTTTGATCATTTTATATGGTGAAGAAATATGGCAAGAGGCTATTAGAATGCCTTAAGTCGAAGTTGTCTACTTATTTAAATACTATTGCTAAAAATATTGAAATATCCTTAACTAAAAAGCCATTTAAGTTTCATGGATTCCTAAACAAAGATGTATGCCCTGGTGTAACCGGGCATTCTATGGGTGAAAAGGATTGACTACTCTGTAATCTGACCCTGTAGATTCTTTTTTTTTTTTAAACATTTTTTAAAGATGTTGATGGACCTTTATTTTATTCATTATTTATATGTGGTGCTGAGAATCAAACACAGTGCCTCACACATGCCAGGCAAGTGCTCTACCACTGAGCCACAAGCCCAGCATTATAGGTTCTTGATATAAATGGCAGGATTAATTGATTACACTTTTGTACAAAAATGTCTCCAAAGGCTCTGCTTTCATAAGTTTTGGACAATTTTTCCTCTGTCAACTAAACAGTGACAAAATAATAATGGAGGTGTAAACATTAGGCCTTTCATTTCTCTAGAAGACCTCCTTAGAAGAAGATAACCCAGTACCCAGCTGGGTTAAAGCTTATGTTCATAGTCAAGGGACATTGGAAAAAAATAATTTCACATCTTTACAAGGTGCAATACGATTGCTTTTGGTACATTTACACATTCAGTATTTATCAAACCAGGATGTACAGGTTACCCATCATCTCAAATATTTATCACTTATTTATGAGAACATTAAAATTCCTCTCTTTTAACAATTTTATATGATAAAATATTGTCAACTATAAGTAATTATATGATACTGCTAACTATCATCACTTTCTGTATAACAGAATATCAGAAATTATTTCTCCTATCTAGTTGTGACTTTGTATCTATTAGTGGGTCTCTCCCACTCTCTACTCCCTAGCCCTTCTAAGCCTTTGGTGTCTACTGTTCTGCTCTCCTTTAATGGTCTACATATAAGTAGAATCATTTGGTATTTGTCTTTCTGTGCCTAGATTATTTTACTTAGCATTATCATTTCTAGTTGCATCTATGTCGTTCCAAAATACAGGATTTCATCCTTTTTAAGACTGAGTTGTATTCCATTATATATAGAAATACTACATTTATTTATCTACCACCCATCATTGGACACCCTTGTTGATCCCATGTCTTGGCCTTTGAAAAAGTGCAGCAATAGATCTGGTAATACAGATATCTCTTTGACTTACCAATTTCATTTCCTTTGGATACATATATACTCAACATCGAGAATGCTGAATAATATGGTAGTTTGATTTTTAATTTTTAAAGAAAACTTCATGTTTTTTTTTTCTATAATGACTGTATTCATTTACATGCTCACTAACAAATGTTATTATGTACTTGGCACCAAGCTGAGCACCTGACATACTTTTGTGCAATTTTCACAATGGCCATATAAGATAGTTATTATTATTCTAATTATATAATTGAGAAGACTAAAAGTTATACATGTTGTTTAAAACATCATTTGACAAAGGAAGTCATGGAGACAAAAATGTGGACATCAAAATCTATACTATTGAGAAGAGATCTGAAAATTAAACACTGAAGACTAAATATTAACCAGGTTTTTGTATGGTTTGTGAGCTACTTTAAAATTTCTTAAAAATTAGAGGAAGAGTAGTATTTCCTGACTCATCAAATTATATTAAATTCAAATTTGAAAACCTACAAGATATTTGATTTCATCATAGCTATGCTCAGGAGATTTTGGCCATGCCTGTTTTCCTACCACAATGGAAAAACTGAGTAGTTGTAGCAAAGACCATATGTGGTACTTTTCACTTCTTTGTACTACTATTTAGTTTATTGAAACCTGCACTGCTGCAGTTACAATACAATAATTATTTTGAGTGTCTCATATGTGGCTGTATCAAGATATTTTATGTATCATTTTATCACTGGTGCATACCCAAAATGGCAAAACAACAATAAGAGGAAATTAACTTCTAATATTGGGCTTTAAAGTAGAATACCGTATGGATTATGTTATTACTGAACTCAGTATCAAAGCACTGTGTTTATTATGTAATGGAATTATAGCTATTCTGGAAGGATTTGCTGTACCTTGACATTATCAAACTAAACACTCATCACAATATCCCTACTAACAGGAAAACAATATTAGAAAAATTAAAAACAAAAATAAATTATCTTCATTGTAGAATTTCTTCACAGAAATAAAAATTTTAAAAAAGTTGTCTGAGTGACTCATTGTTATCCAAGCAAGGAAAACTGTTTACCAGTTGATTAGTTAATCAAATCACATTTTATTGCCAATGCCAGAGAAATGTGTCTTCAGAAAAATTAATTTGTTTGAAACTACTAGTCTATCTGCAGTAAAGCTTAATTGAAGAATTATAGACATTAGAAGCAAAAATGATCATCAATTAAAAAGTATGATAAATGAATGATTCTGAGGTGTTTTCTTTAAAAACAGTACTGTTTTTAAAGTGACTGAAGAATTAGCATCTATTTATATCCAGCATGAATCAACTACAGGCAAGAATATTTTCAAAGAAGTTGAGCATGCAAAAATTCACTAAAACCTGAAGTAGAAACTGCTGAGAAGTATCATAGCTAGTGGTGGCAAAAGTATAGGTGAGTTGGGGAAAAGAACAGTTTATATTGACAGGATTGAAAAGCTTGTCGAAATTCAATTTAAAACTTATGTTCATTTATAATTTTATTCATTAGCGTATACTCTGTAGAAAATATTTGAATTTATAGTAAGATAGAAGCAGTGGTGTCAATGGTGAATCTTGTGTACACTACTGGACTCAAAAATTATTATTTCATTCATTATTGTCAAAAACAAAAGTTAAATATCTTAATTTTTTTCTACCACAAGCAGACTGGTGATTTACCATTGCTGAAGTTTTACTGTGATTTTCAAGCTCATGGCTGGACTGAAATTTTCTCAATATGAAGAATTACCATCAAATACTATCTTCAATTCTGTGGCAGATTCAATAAGGTATCTAAGTGATTTCAATCCAAAATGTCAAGGCAAAACAGAGGCAGTACATAGACCTTATTTAGCTTAAAGTTAATCTCAAAATGAATAGTGTTATTTGAAGCACGAATAATGTAAACTGCCTTGTAAGCCATCCATGTTGATGGTCATTATAACAAAAAGTAATATTATCAGTCGCACAAATTTCCAACCTCAACCTTCAGTTCCAATGTTGTGTTTCAGACCTTCATGCAAATGCAAAAACAATATCCATGTTTAAAAATCTGTTAGCCATGTAACTTGAGTTGCTTCCATCTTGAATTGGAAGTGATTTGCAGTATGTTGGCACATTTAAAGGCAAATATACAGAAGAAACTAATAGAATTCTTTAAGAGCTCTCAAACAATAAATGTGCTCAATTAAAATCATATGATCATGGGTTGCTATCAATGTTCTATAATACGGAACTGTGATGAGACATGTTCAGATATCAAATGCTAAGATAACATTACAGATCAGCTAATAAATGAACATTTGCAATCAGTTTCATGGTGCTGAAAACTATCTTTCAACCAAATTAAAGACAATATTACTTCTCCTCTCATAAATATCATTCTTCTGATAAGAGCACCTGTATGATAAAAACATTTTCAGTTACTCTTATTGTTACATCTTGAATTTCAGAAAAATGTGTGGAGATTTGTTTTCTCACTGGCTCTGTAATATATTAATAATATCCTTAGTTTTGTCTCTTAGATCAAAAAGCTGAAAATTATTTACTCTGTGGCCTTTCATTCAAAAATCTTGCTGATATAATCTAGTGCTCAGAACCAATGAATATAATAATTACAGGTTTTCTTCTTTGATCTGTCACTAGTGTCCCCATAGGGAAGACTAGATGGTTTCCATTTGCTTTGACTCCACAAACATTTATTCTTGCTAAAAATCCTTCATTTCGCTGCTGTGCTGCGTAGTTACAAGGTCATGGAGCCTTGTGCAAGAAGTGTATTACATGTCTAAGACTGTAAAGTACACGTATTTGAAGACTAACCCATGTGTTTATGAAAAATTAAATTTAACTTTCTATTAACAGATTAGGAATTGTATAAAATTAGATGCATTAATAATGAATGGTCATCAGAGCCGAGTTATTAAGAGAATAAGTCTCAAATCTCTTTTAAATCCCAGCTATACCCCTAACTTGCTGCATGAACTATGGAGTTAATTGAGATGATTTAAAGACTACAATCCTGGCCTGGTATTGGGGCAAGTTACAATTAACCAGGAGTTTGCTACACGTAGAATGGGACATTTATGACACAGGCAGAGAGAGACATGTGTGCAGAGGAAATGAGGAGATTAAAAGAATGTGATTAATTCAAGGGACACAGAATGGAGTCCATTCTAACTCAACACAGGAAGCAATAGTGGACTGGATTGATGCTGTGAAGGTAGAGGGAACAGGAAGATGTGGGGTGACTTTGCAATCCAAACTCAGGTTATTTTTCCTTTGAAATACTTTTGATATACCATGGAATATTATTCAGTCTTGAAAAGGAAGGACATTCTGATGCACACAGCAATATGGATGAACTTCAGAGAATTATACTAAGTGAAATACACCTAGTCACAAAAGCTTCCACTTATAAGATGTTTCTTGAGCAGTCAGATTTATAGAAAAAGAAAGAAGAATGGTATGATAGTTTCCACACGGATAATATA